TGGTGCTGCAGACGAGGGAGACGCGGAGAAAGCCCCGGAGTACACGGGCGGCAGGACCGCGAGGTCCCGCAGTCCATGTACTCCGGGGCAGCCCCGTTCGTAACTGCGGATCGGGGACTGCCTGTATTGCCTTCAGCAGTGGTTTCTTAGTATCTGGGAGATGTTCTAATTCTGCTAGTTTTGAATAATTATCAAAATTATGGTTCGATAAATGAGCCAAATAATTTGCAATACGTAACAATAGTGTGGCCGAACAATAAATCTTTCTACCAAATATATCTAATTTTTTATTGTCCTTATCTGGAATTGTGTTTCTGTACTGCAGTGCTTTAGCTCTATCTTGTGCTGCCTTGGCTATGATCGAGTTAGATTGGGGGTGATTGAATAGAAAATCCAGCCCCTTAGCCGATACAAAGTATTTTCTATCGGTCTTTTTACTTGTAGGTATAGCCGATGTTGGGGTCTGCTATATCTTGTCCGGCACTTTCATAATTGCCTCATCAGTCGGTAAGGTGATCTTCGCATGCTGTTGTGGATGCAGATTCTTTAGGAGGCAGTGCTTTTTAATTGGGACATCTCCCAACTGTCTTTCTTGTGTGCTTACTACCCTCTTGAACAGGTCCTGAAATTGCTTCAGGTCATCCAGTGGAGAGATGTCACCAGGGAATATCGCCTCATCCGGTGATGAAGAGGAACAGTAAGTTGGAGAAGTTTCCGGCTTAGAGTCTTCTGCTTCAGACAGCTGCCTCTCTTCTGGTTTGGACTGGTAATACTGGATGGTTGGACTTTTCGATGGAGGAGGTGAGTGTAACTGTTGTGATTGTTGAGGTAAGTATTGCACACTCGGTGATCGACAGTTGCAGGAAGATCCCCTATAATATATTGGAGTGTGGTCATGATGGGGACAATCGTTGTAGGCCCTATGATAGTACCCATAGTATTGTTCTGAGCGCCTAAGGGAGGAGTGACATGAGGACCATGCACTACTGTGACGTATGTAATAAATGCGGCGTGGAGAGCATCTAGTAGATCCGTGCCTTGATGATCATCCAGGTGAGCGAGAGCGTGAGTGGGACTGTTGTGCTTCTAGATACACTGTGTCTCTATAATTGCGTCGCCTGTATGTTACATGGATGGGAGAGACACTATACCCAATGTACTGCTGATGCCTTGGTGGAGAGGGGGACGGTCCAGGATCAAAAATGGAGAGACAGACCCCTCCCTTGCATGAGGTTTTGCCAGTGCTTTCCTAGGTGCTGAAGCACTCTCTGTTTCCATGGCAACTGGGGAGCTCAGTGCTGACTGAGGGCAGCCTGGTGCCAAGGAGATTAGCTCCAGTGGTGGTGTTGCCGGTGGTGGGAATATGCGTAACCCATACTCTCGGTGGCGATAGTGACCCCCTTGTGCTAGGGCCCGCAGAGTGTTAGGACCCCGTGGTGGTCACTTTAAAGGCTCCTGGCTTTTTTGAAGATGCCAGCAGGCAGGGAGCGCACTGGGGACGGCTTGGTCTTCCTTGAAATGGACGGCCCGGGCAAAGGCGCTTTAAAGGCTCCTGGCTTTTTTGAAGATGCCAGCAGGCGGGGAGCGCACTGGGGACGGCTTGGTCTTCTTTGAAATGGCCGCCCTGGGAGAAGCCGCTCTGCGCCTATGATCAGAGTGCTTGGTAACAGCTGAGGCAGGCATCCTGTCAGGTTGCAATGCCTTCCCAAACATTAACATTTTCAATCTCATTTCCCGCTCCCTCCGAGTTCTTGTCATGAGCTTGCAGCAGTGGGTGCACTTCTGTGGGATGTGTGATTTGCCCAAGCACTCAACACAAGCGTCATGGCCATCAGAAGCTGGCATGGCTTCACAACAGAGTGAACACTCTTTAAAACCCTGGCATTGTCAAGGGCCAGTAAAGGTAGCTGAATGCTGACCTTCCCTTTAGTCCCTGTCTTCTGCTGCTTGTTTTGATGGGGGTTTTTTTGTTTGTTTTGTTTTTGTTTTTTTATGGTTAGTTGTAGCAGCTTCCGATGTAGTTCTGAAGAGAAAAAAAATTTTTTTTTTAACAAGAGATAACTGTAGAACAAGATCACGACTAACAAGGAACATTCTCCGAAAGAAAGATGAGAAGAGCAAAGGGAGCTCCGTCCATGACCGGAGGCGGTTGAGAGGAACTAAGTGGGTGCTGGACCGCACGCAGCTGATCAAAGGCGTGAACGGCGCTGCAGAGAAGCCGCGCATGTGCGATCTGGCGGAGCACAGCTATGACAGTTCTCTGAACTGTGGTGCCGGGATGGGACTCGACACCAAGAGTGGAGCACCCACGGAGACCACTCAAAGAAGAACTTTAATTTGACTAGCAGGTACACTGCCTCATTATCAGCTCTATTATGCTCTAGAACATGTTTTCAACAGTAGCGAGTCTATGTGTTTGGGAGTTTAAATTGATCTAAAATCAAAACTATGTAATAACATTAACAATAATAGAATAATAGAATCATAGGGCTGGAAGAGATCTCAAGAGGTCATCGAATCTAGGCTCCTGCCCAAAGCAGGACCAATCCCACAAAATCAAACCAGCGAGGTTTTTGTCAAATTGAGACTTAAAAAACTCTAGGGATGGAAATTCTGCCACCTCCCTAGGGAACCATTCCAGTACTCCTAGTGAAATAGTTTTTCCCAATATCCAACCTAGACCTTCTCCACTGTAACGTGAGACCATTGCTCCTTGTTCTGCAATTCTGCACTGGAAAGGGCCAATGGACTAGATGGCTTTGTTCTAGATTTACCATTAATCCAAGAAGTCTTTTCGTAATCTGTCCTTTTCACACCATCTACCCAAGATTTACCTTTCTGCTAGTTTGGCGGGCACACAAATGAATGCCTGCCCAGAGATAAAACATAAGAAATTTAACACCTAAAGGGATGATTTTTAAAAATGAATTTTAACCAAAACTAAATAATAGATTAACATGTTTAATCTATTAATGTTAATCTCAAGGTTTATTCCACACTCAATGTGATGTAATTCTGGAGAATAGATGATTTGTTTTTCACAAAAAGTGATTGAATTCCTGACTGTTACCTTCCACAACTATGCTCTGAGCAAAACCACCTTTCTACACCACATTTAGCACAGCTTGGGCACTGGCACAATATAAATAAGTTTCACTGTATATAAATGAGGTTTCCTGGCCTGCACCATCTCCTTGGCCTGACACAGCTCCCCAGACATCAGAGGTGTCGATTGCAAGTAGATGTGCCACTCTTCTTACGTACCTCATTTACTAGAATGTGTGTTATAACTTGTTGTTAAGACACATCAGTCCAGTTGTCAGTCTGGAGGCTGCAGCTTTATTTTCCAAAGATCACTTAAATCCATTTTGAAAAGAAAGCAGAATTCTGTAGTTGTTAGAGAGGTGCGATAATGAAAACTACTGGAGAGCTGCTGTGGTTTTTTCTTTTCACATTTTATCTATAAAACAAGCAGAGGGCTTACAAAGAGTTTACAAGAGTATGGGTAGAGGGAGTTGGATGTGGGGGGAGAGGGGGGTTAGGGGATCTTAAAGATAACAGCAGCATTCACAAAGCACTAACCGAAATCTCCAAGCCTTTCTTCAAGAGAATTATCATTTACAAGTGCTGCTAAAGAGCAACAGTGCCATCTAGTGCCAAAGGAGCAAGGTGAAGGATTGAACCCCCATGGCCTTTATTTCATAACTGTGTCAACATCTGCCCTCTGAATGCTCTGTTCACCTGTACAAATGAAAATGAGATGGAAGAAACAGCTCAAAATCTTA